TATATAGTGGGATTGTGAAGGGTTCAGGGAGTGGAATTTTCCATGGGTGGGGTTACTTCTTCCTTCTGTCAGGTTGCTTGGCAACTATCTCTTACTTGTGCTATGGGGGCAAGACTGTTATAGTCTCACTAGGCCATAGGAATTTTTCAGTTCCATTATAATCTTATGGGACCACTGTTATATATGTGGCTGATCTGTTGTTGACTGAAATGCTGCACAGGATTGTAAAGGGTTTGTTCTCCTGGCAACCAGTCACCATCTTTAGGTGACCATGGGCTATTCCCAAAGTCACATCATTCTCACCACTTAGGAAATTACAAGGATTTTAGAAGTTCTATACTAGAAAAGCAGACAGAAACCAAATATCAATTTCTTATTATAAGTCACAATATCACCCAGGGAATCACACATTTTAATGCTCAGTGACTGTTTGCTGTGCTTGGGTGCCTAGATTGGAGGAACTTCCAACATTAGCCATACTGCTCAAACTGCTCTCTCTCATAAGCATTTTAGACACTAATGTTGGCTCTGCATCACCAGTCTCCACAGACATCTCCAAATCTCTGTTTTCTATAATTAGATATTTTCACTTTAAGTATTGGCTAAGGTTCAGGGCTGGGCTTCGGATACAGATTGGGCCACCTCATCCCAAGTAAAACCTCTTCTTATCAGGATGCGGGCAGAATTACTCAGCTGCTGGAACAAAACCAAAGACCTATTATTACTCTTCTCCCAGGACACATGGATGGCTGCTTGTTGTATATCCTTATATTTTATTTATTTGTTTGTTTGTTTTACCTGAGAGGTTCACTTAAGTGATTCCATGCAGGTCAAAAAAGACCTAACAAACAACAAACTTCAACCAGCTCTCCCCCATTTGACTCTAACATCTGGGAGAATTTAAAGTGGAAGGATAAACACATATGCACCTAGGGCAACTGGCCTTTTGCTCTTATGTGTCATTTTGATCTGATCTATAATGTCAAAGTGTAGCCAATACAAAAATAAATGATTTTGTAAGTTCCATCATTGTATATACCCAGACAACATAATGAATAATACTTTAGATCCATTCACTAGGAAATTACTTTAGTGCTTTTTCCCATTCTGTAATCTGAAAGAGCTGACCTTTATCCAGTGCTTTTTTCAAAGAGGAGCTACTGTTACATAGCAAGATCAAGAATTCAAAGCACAGTGGTAAATAGGCTCTTTCTAATTTGGGAATTGCACATACATACTCTACTATTTCTCACCTATTGAGTTATACAAATCCATCAAACTATTTTTATCTTCAATGAAATTGCATTGATGTAAACCACATCAAAATTAGCTCTTGAATCTAAAACCTTAATTTATGGAGTATGTTGCATCCCTGTCAATATTTACGCATGGCACAGAAGGCAATTGTGCAAACGAATGCCATCCATCAAAGGAAGGGAGGTACCTGTAATTATATTATATCAATAATTTTTTAAAACAAATGCATTTGGTTTCATTACTTTCCTATCACTTAATTTTTCAATGACTGTCTAATTCAAATTCCAGCCATTTATGGGCATTCTTTTCAGCAGTTTTCACTCTATCAGTTTGAACTGAGTGAGGCTAGAAATGTCAGTAATGACATTTCTTATGTTGGTAGTTGTTGCCTTGGAGGGAGTCATCTCAGATTCAAGGCTGAGTTTTGTATGCTTTGGTTGCATGGAATTAGATGATACTCCTCTTCCTGGAAGTATAATCTTTGTAATTGCTGATTCCAAGAGGGTGTTGAGAAACTTTCCTGAGAGAAAAAATAAACAACCGAAGTGAAGTTCACACTTGGGGTCAGATGTTGTCTGGTATGCCTGGTAAATTTGAGGTTGGAGTGTGCATGTGTTGGAGGTAGGAGTACAAGGTGACAAATTATGTGAAGCCAGGTGGAGTCCCTAAAACGGAACTCAACTTAAGGAGAAGGTTAGTGGAACAAGTCAGGCTCAGGTATAGGCCAAAGGTCAGAAGACTGGTGAGAATGAAGGGGTGTTCAAGAGTGGTGGCTGATACTAAAAATCTGTCCTAATAAAATCACCTTGTGTGTCAGTTCAGGGAGAAAGAAAACAACACTGTCTCACTATCTTTACAACCCTTGGTCCCAGGAATTTACTGTTGTTTACCTTCCCCTCCTGTTGCTCAATATTCCCGAGAGTCCTCAAGGAGGGAATAACAGACAGGGATATTTTCTACCTGCCATTCTCTATGCATTACTGGCTGGGAAGAAACTTGGATTGATGAAAAACAGTGAGAGGAGCATGGTCTGCAGAGTTCTGGCATGGCTAACAGTGCCACCAATGTTGGGGTCAGCGTGCAATGACCAGAAATAACTTGTAAGACCTTCCTGAGCGATTCTGACATACTGGGCAATGGGGAGGGAGAAACACTCTGCAAGGGCCAGAATTCCTTCTGGAACAAGTCTGAGTGTAACCAATGATTTGTATTCACAGTTAAAAAAGTGTAGCTGATAATTTGTACCCACAGGTAAAAATGTCAAGAGTCATTGGGTGATATTATCTATATACATAAAAGGCTAATATGCAAAGTGTCCCCTCGGGAGTTCGACCGGCAGACTGGGAGTTTGATTGCTTGCTATGATGTGTGCTGATCACCAGGGGGCAGCGTGGAATGAAGGACAGCCCTGGCCGGCAGCTGGAAGACCCTGATTGGCTCTGATTGCTGGCCAGGCCTAGGGACCCTACCCGTGTATGAATTTCATGCACTGGGCCTCTAGTTTATTATAATTTTATTAGTAGTTTCCTGATAACCTTTGTAGGATAGCTCTTGATAAACAAACAAACAAATAAAACGATTGAAATGGAACATCAGCTGGTGCCTCCATTCCAAATTATGTAATAGCAATTGTATCTCTCTCTCTCTCTCTCTCTCTCTCTCTCTCTCTCTCTCTCTCACACACACACACACACACACACACACACACACACACCACACACACACACACACACACACACACACACTGGTTTTATAACTTATAACTTTGGACAGCTTTAGTTCTTAAGAGGTGCAATGTTTCCATGGATTGTGTTCTTTTGCTAGCCATCATGTTGCTATACAATGAAGCCAGTTGAATATTATAAAATAGGAGACAGACTATACCCAGTAGAAAAGCAAGGAGTTTTGATGTGAGGCAAAACATAATAGAAGGAAAATATACATAGGCTAGTGGCCCAGTGCACAAAATTCATGCACTGAGGGGGTGGGGGAGCACCCAGCCTGGCCTGTGCCGTCACAGTGCGGGAGCCCCATGATCCATCGCCCAAAGAGGTAGGCCCCACCCACCCATCTGGGGCTCCTTGATGGATTGCCCCAAAGAGGTAGGCTGGAGCCAGCGGAGACCTGTGGACTGCCGGTGCAGGCACAGGGAGAGGCCTTTGCTGTGCCCCACCCCAGTCCCTGACACTGCAAGTCCCTGCATGCTGTGCATGCAGCCTCCAGCTGATCAATCGTTACATGTGAGGGTGTCCTGACCATTTGCATATTACCTTTTTATTAGTATAGATATTGTTAGAAGGTCAGTTTTAATAAAACTAATAGCTATTAAAATACAGGGATGATTTTCAAGTGTACATCATGTGTCTACTTAGGATTCAACAATATCAATATAACATTTAACATTTATCAAACCTCACGATATGCCTGAAACTGTCAGGGCCTAAGATACAAAGATAATTAAGACACAAAATGCCATGAAGGAATTTCCACTTAAAAGGGAACAAATAGTTGCAATAAATAGTATAATAGCAATGCTATGTGACGAAGGGTAAAGAGTGCGTAACTTTTGGGAAAGTGGTTTGGGATGGCTTCTCAGAGGAGGGCTCTCTTAGCCTGGGTTGGGCAGATGAGTCAGGTAAGGAAGGCCATTTCAGTTAGGGGAAACTCTATGTGAAAAAACAAGGATTCATCAAACAGAATTTTATTCGCTGGATGGAAGTTTCTGCAGCTTTTCCTGTGGGTTATTCACAGAGCCACAAGAAAGCTAGTATAACAAGAATTTTGGGAGCATTTAGAGTGATGAGGGACAACACTGGAGAAGTGAGCTTTAACCCGGTTTTTGAAAGCTGTGGGAAGGGAGTTAGATTTTATACTGTGGGCAATGGGAAACAGTTGAGGTGTTTAAGTAGAGTGACATATTCAGATCCATGAATTAAAAATTTAAAAAAACCCAACACTACTTGGCACCCTTGTAAATGACTCCCTTTCCCACCTCAGTCCTATTTCTTTGTGGAACTCTTTCTTATAGGCTCATTTGCTTGGTATATGATAATTTTTTTCTGGAATATGTGATCATCTTAGCCCTTTGATATGATAAATGTTGATTGTCGAAAAAATAGATTTCATTTCATGAGTCCATTCTTTCATTATATTGTTATAATGATTTTTGCAAGATAATAATGTTTCAAAGTTGAGAAGTTATGCATAGATTCTAATTTCTAAGATCATTTATGAAACAGTGGAAATGTGGTTTGTTGGTAGAATCAAGTGTCTTAACATGTGTGGCGCTAAATGTGATCTCATTGTTTTTCAGATGCAGTGAGGACTCTTTGAATGGGAGAAGGACTTTAGAGCTTTCCATTATGGAAGGAAGATTCTAGATCTTGGTGAGTTTACTGTGACATGGGAATCCATAGCCCATTTTGGTTTTAGTTATTTTTAAACACACTAAATTCAGGAAACCTTGGTAAAGACTATGAAGAAGACATAGCTTGCTTTATATTTAAAATACGAAGTAGCAGAAATAAATAGGTACTTGATACAAATTAGCCTAGAATCACAAACTCCTATCCCAATTCAGAATGTTTCTAATTTAGAGAAAAGTAAGCTTATAAAATGTGGTTACACTCATTACCATTTTTATACTGACCACAATTTTGAATAGTTATGTAGGGATTTTTGCCAGTATTGTGAATAAATTAAGACTTTTAAATATCAATTGTGCAGTTTCTGCCTGTTATGGGCACTCAATATACATTTAGTTGAATTATGGCAATTCTCACTGTAATAAATTGCTGTCTTCAGCCGGATACTTTTGTTTAATATTCACAATATTTAGAAGACCATTGGAACTTTTTGATGATGGGGAAGTCCTGTGGGGAGTTACTGTTTACTATCATAAAGAAGTTATCCATATTTTCTTACAAACTCATTTTGCACCTAACACTGTTCATACCTATAATCAGATCCTCTTAATGCTGCTAGGACTCATTTGGCTCCACAATTATTTCAACAAGCACCTACTGTTTGCAAAGCAATGAGCCACATGTGAAGAACACATTTATTGGTACTGGTTTTAGTGTTTCTACATGTAGGTTTCAGTTGTTTAATATGTAAGTCCAGAGTCTTACATTATCTGAGAATAGGGCTCACTTTTTTTTCTTCTTCCGTTTTGCCCCTGCTTCATTTAAAATAGAGTGTACCCCAATAAATTTTTAAAAATTACAGTATATTGAATTCCAGTTTCATATCAAAAAATTGTAAGTCACCTAGCTGGCATGGCTCAGTGTTTGAGCGTTGACCTATGAACTAGGAGGTCACAGTTTGATTCTTGGTTAGGGACATGCCTGGGTTGCAGCCCGATCTCCAGTGTGAGGCATGCAGGAGGCAGCCAATCAATGATTCTCTCTCATATTGATCTTTCTATCTCTCTCTCAATTATATAGTATACAATATTCAGTCATTAATTTAAGAGGTCAATTGGCATCAGTTTATTTCTTGTGCTGTCTTTGTTTTCATACTGGTTGAACAATGTCTGTGAGAGCTTTCTTAGAGTTACCCATTAGCTTATGTTCCCAATAGAAATATTTCTTCAGTAAGGTCTCAATTTGCTTTAATATATTCTTTTGTGAAGGAAGTTAATTATTATTCTTGGATGTGGGAGAAGGCACTATTATGCTTTCTGTAGGAGGAACTATTTTGTGTGTTTAAATACATTTCCCAAACATTTGGTAGGAATGACTAGCTCTACCAACAGACATACATATATGTCCAGTGATTATTGGAAAACCACACCTATGAGCTTATAAGTGTTGACAGTAACAAGCCACAGGCACAGAGAGGCTGTGTACACATAAATGCATGCACTTCCATGTGTTTTATTTAATCTTAAAATGAAGCTTAGCATATCTATAATATACAACATGAAACATACTATTTTGAACTTAATATTGTATATAATATATTCATAAGCATTATATTTTTTAGCATTTAGTTTCAGATGAAAGGTTAAAAGTTTTAAGGTACACAAAAATGAAGTATGAAGTATGCAAAATGATTAAAGACATGCCCATGAGAGGCTGGAGGAGAAAGCAAATAGCCTAGGGGTCCAAACCAGAATTATAAGATGACAAAGAAATGAGAAAAAGGATAGATGGAATGTGCCCCCGGGCACAAAATCTCCTCCAGTTGAGAACCACTGGGATAGAGGAAGAAACAGACACAGTACAGAAGTTTCTCACAAACCGTGGTAAGTGCCATGACACCGGAGAGCTGATAGGAGTGCAGTGAAGGGGCAGCTCACAAAGACGGGGTGGCAGGGAATTCGGAGACTTTGGGCAGGAAATAAAGTGGAGTGGAATCTTCAAAAATGAGCAGCAGCCTATGGGAGAGGTGAAAGAGAAGGGAGGAGGAGGAGGAGGACCAAGGAGGGAGGAAGAGCAAGGAGTGATGGGGAATTACTTATTCCGGGCTGAGGGCACAGAATGAGAAAATGCACAGAGGTTTGAACCAGCGTGCTATATAAAGGGATCTAGAAGCTGGTAAGAGCCATGCTACCCAAGCATAAAGTTCAAAGTGGGGGATAGTGGGCTTTGCAGACCCAAGGCCACAGACACATTTTTCATAGCCCAAGGTCAGTCTTTTATTACCCTTTACAGTGAGGTTATAATTATCCATTTTTCTCTTGTCATTGCTGGGGAGTCCATTAAAAACTTGCCACTATCCTTGGTCCCAACAGTTAATAGATGGTAGCACCTTTGATTTCTTTGCCTAGCACTGAAATCAATTGAGCTTTTGCCAAATCTCAGGTATGTTTTTCTTCAGGTTTGGGGAAGGGACATTTAAAAATATGTGTAATACTTGAAAATAGAGAAGAAAATAGCTTTAGCAATTTTATCCTTTATTCAACTTCAAGCTTTTTATAAAGGTAAAAAAATATTTTTTAAAGGATATTGTTATCATTTTAACAGAGTTCCTTTGACTCCTTGTGAGCCCTGGGACAACAGGATAGTGTCTTCTTAATGCCTGATATATAGAAGATGCTTGACCAATGTTTATTGGATAAAATATATTTATATTTGTTATTAGTAATAGTAACAACATCTTATCTTAATCCATTTAAACTACTATAACAAAATATCACAGACTGCATGACTTATTTTCACAGTTCTGGAGGCTGGTGTTGGCGGATTTAGTGTCTGGTGATATCCCACTTTCTGGTTCACAGACAGCTGCCTTTTCACTGTAACTTCACATGGCACAGGGGGCTAGGAGTCTCAGGGTCTCTTCTGTAAGGACCCTAATCCCATTCATTAAGACCTGCCCTCATGACCTAAGCACCTTCAAAAGGCCCCATCTTCTAATATCACATTGGGGATTAGGTTTCAACATAAAATTTTGAAGAGACACAATCAGTCTACAGCATGTTTCTATAGAGCACAATTAATGATAAATTTCTCAAGGATGTGATCTCATATGATGATTACAACAGCCCAATGAGGTAAGTAAGGAATTGTTTTTAACTCAATTACAAGTTGTGTCTTATCCTTGACCCAGTATTACCCAACCCATACTCTTCTACCTCTTACACTGAAAGAAAACTGGTACGTGCTTACTCTTATGGCAGATAGCTAATAGAGAGGGTAGGTGCTATAGGTTTTTATTTTTAACACTGTAGAATCATAAAACAATAAAGGAGGTAGAAGCCTTTAGAGTCAAACCTTTTGATTTCACAGGTGAGGAAACTGAGGTCACAGCCACTCAGTAGAGCCAGGTTTATAACCTGAGTCTCTGGATGCCTATATTTGGGTGGACACATCAGGAGTTATTAGTAGGTGTGCTTATCTGAAATTCCCATGTCTTTCAAGCAGCAGACCACCACATATCTGCACAGCAGGAGCCTGGGTTGTGGAGGTTTCTATTGTACAATGTGTCTTCTATAGACACACATGTTCCAGGAGAAGGCTGGTTTCAAGGACATAAGAAATAGCACATTAAAAAATGATGTGAATGCCTATTCTTTTATACCAGTACCAAACAATACTATGTAGGTGGCTAAATATAATAAGCTGTTTTATTTTTCCCAGAAGAGGAAGTGAGGGTCCAGAAAAGTTAAATTTTGCAAAGGATTTTATTGGCCAAGTCAACATCTGTGTGCTTCCTAACAGTGAGTCATCTCTATTCGTAATAAGTAGGGCAGGAGGGCAGCTGGAATTTCCCAGATCACTCCTAGGCCACTGCTTCCTCTCTGTGCTGCTCTTTATCCTCATGGCACAACTTCATTGGCAAAAAAAGGGAAACAGTTGCCCATACTGACTCAGATGCCTTTGGTTTTTGGTATGATACATTTAGGGCAAAACAAATGTCTAACTTTAATAACAGTATGAATAATTGGATCTCTTCCCAAGTTTTGTTGCTCAATATTGCACCCAGAAAGGAACACTGACTATTATCAAAGACCAGCTGTGACTGACAAATGCAAAGCTTGTCATAGGTGACGAAGCTCAGTAGCTGGAGTATCACTGAAAGAAAGAAAAACACCTTGAGCTGTTGTTCTCTCCCCTTGCTGACATGAAACAAACAAACAATCCTTAAAACCAAAAACTAAGTATGCTATTA